CTCAAAAATCCATAAGCAGAGTGAACCAACATTCATTGGAATTGAATTGCATTGAATTGGCTCAATCATTTGGAATAAACATCCATCCAGTAAATTCTCATTTCACCATCTTGATAACCCAGCCCTGTGGGTTTCCCAAGATTAAGCGCAACCGTTTTCACCCTTGAAAAGATGCTATGATTTGCTCACCTACTATATTCAGTGAGAAATAGAAGAAATTCCCATCATCCATTGCAGCTCATTCTCAAGGAAACACATACATGAATGAGTCCCCCTGCCATGACCGCTGCACAGTCTGCTTCCGCGTGCGTGTGCAGCAAGTCAAAACCAAGGACAACATTTTGGAAGAGTTCTCCGTGTTCACAGCTGCAGAGTATCCTACTCTAAATCATCTCTGCAGATGAAATAGCAATGATGTAGGGGTTCACAAGACAGGCTGGGGGGTGTGGCTCAGTAGTAAAGCAACTGTCCGGGGATGTGCAAGGCCCTGGGTTTCATTTTCAGCACTTAAAAGATAAATAAACAAATAATAGAATATGCTCTCTGTGTTAAAGCCATATAAATGGATATGAACCAGTTTTAAAAGATTACTGTTTCTCTGTTCACCTTATTTCTACTGGTTAACTGAGCACAAATGCTCAACCAAGAAGCTTAGCATCGGGGTTGTGAAGCTCAGTTTCCACCCTCATGTAAAGTGTGAGGTTCTAAGGTGGACTCTGGAAACTGTAAAAAACAAATCAACAACAAAATCTCACAAGAAAAGACAGTTTTGAGTGACTTCACCAGCTTAAAACACTCTTCCTCACCCATCTATTCTCAACAAAGACCTGAAATGCAATAGGATCCCTGTCAGGAGCACTCGACCCTGAGATAGGCATGACCCAAGGATATAGGTCAGCTGAAGTAAGGAGGAGCTTTGGAGGAAAGAGTTCAGAGGACCGAAAGTTTCCAGAAAAATAGAACTGGGGGGTCACCCTGGCACTCAGTTACCACATAAAACAATACTGATGTATCTGAATGTCCCGTTTGCATCTTGATCTAGGATGACTTGATGGCATTGCCATATGGAATCTACAACTACATTCAGGCCTCTTCTACCCAGGCAAAGGGAAGTTCTGAAAAATGAGTTCAAACCCCAAGACAGTGGAGACAGCAGTTATATCATCCTGCACAGAACCAGCCTTGTGTTTACTCTGTTAGAGAACTTACCTGCCCGTCAACACACAGAGGGATTGCACTAAATCCTTCCAGGACTGTAGAACTACAGGCTGGAACTTTATGATCACGCCCAGAGTCATCTTTGATGGAGTCAACAAAGGGTGTGCCTTTGGTCCCTCTCTTCCTTGGCCTTCCATGTTCTAAAGACAGTCCTGTACTCACACAGCCATTGGATTCTGCAGTTAATATGAAATTAACTCTCTCCTCTATCCCTAAATTGTCTGTGATTGAAATTAGTAATAATTTATGAAAAAAAACAATCACTTTCAGGAATGTAAATCATTGGAATATGACTCAGTCTACAGAGTACCATTTAACCTCAGGGCTTGCTTACCTTGTGTATGAAGATGAAATCAAATGTTTATTCTGAGTTATTCAAAGAATACATACTCGACCCAGATGTAATTTTCATTCTGGGCTCTGCTCTCTAGTCTGGCCATTATGCCCCCAGTAGAAGGAGAGGGCCAAGTAAACTGCTAATATTATGAAACAGGGGTATACTTCATACCTAAAATCTTTGTACTAAAATTTAACTCAACCTCAGAAACACACACCTTTCCACAAGTACCTAAATGAAACCTGCTTTGAAATTTGAAGACCAATTTGACTTGTGACATGAAGCAAAGGACATTAGTGACAGCCCCTCCAGTTTTCTCTCTTGATTAAAAAGAAACAACAAAACCCTCAGCACTATGTAAGGTAGTGATAGTCTCCTTTCCAAGCATAAGAAATGTGGAAATATAAAGTATCTTCAGTGAACCCAAAACACAACACAAAGATTAAAAGGTAACTGGGTATAGGTATACCTGGACCTAAAAACAAATGAATACTCAGATAAATCATTTATTCCAGAATATGGCAACTTCTAATTTCTTTTTATTAAGACTACATTCAGACTGGGAGAGTTCCCGGGAAAGACTATCATGGACACACAAGGGTTATCCATTAAACTAGTATTGCTGGAGAAATAATTATCTTCTCTTCCATAAATTGTAAACATGACAAGTCGCCTCTTTATAAATTTGTTTCTTGTGCATTTTACACTTTCTATTGAAAGTGAAAGGGTAGCTACCTTAGTAGTTGTTCATCCACCTGGCCTTGCAACATTCTGCATGCATTGTCAAGTTTCTCACTGTTAATTTTCTAATGAGCAGTTTTGTTTTCAAATGCCCCAAGGCCAGTTGCTCAGTCCAAGCATAAACTTAGTCAAAAAAAAAAAAAAAAGAAAAGAAAAAAAGCTCAAAGAAGCAAGAAAATTTAAACAGCATCATCAGGACTCCAATATACATTGCATTCCCACTTATTTGAGTTTGTTTCTCTCAAGTGCTTACCAGCTTACCAGCTCTCTCTTCTCTCCTCTCTCCCTCTTTCCCCCTCTCTCCCCCCTCTCCCTCTCTCCTCCTCTGTGTGTGATTCCCAGAGTGCAGAAAAATATTCACTTCATTAATCTTATAGAAGACTTTCCACATGTATTCAGCTCAGTTTAATAGTGTATTTTCATCTTGCATGTTTTGAGCTGTATAACTCTTTCTAAAAAGGTTTTCAGTTCAAAACCATAATGAGCAAAAGCCTTGTAAGAAGACCATACACCATTAATAACCTAAGTGTGTATAAAGGCATAGGAACACCTTCCCTAAAAACTGATTTGAAAGTTAAACACTTTAATTTTTACCCATTCCAGGAATGACTTATCCATGTATCCTCACCATCATGATCTCTAAGGGAAGTACAAGTTATAAAACTGGAGAAAAATAAGTCATGTTCTAGGCTAATGTATTTATTTGCTTTTATTAAACACCTGTAATAGAATTATATGAAATAAGTATACCTTGTAGAAAGAAAGAAGGAAAGAAACAAAGAATTCAGAAAAAGTCTTCTGGGGGGTATTTGTATTTTACACAAGTATGTGTACATACAAGAATTACAGGAAGAGGGCAGCCTAGAAGGACCATCTGTAGATTCCTATGTCTAGAACCAAACATGCTTGGAAATGGATAAGCTTTTTTTTTGTTTTGGTTTGGTTTTGCTTTATATGTTAAATCAGACACAAGCCTTAACTTTCCTTTTGTCCATTAAGATACTCTTAGTCCAAGATGAACTTTGTGTGAAAAACTTTGTAAAGAAGAAAGATCATGATGGAACCATTTATACCTATTCGTTCAAGTAAAAGTGTCACACAGTAACAAACACCTTCCTTTTTACATTATCTTTCAAAGCATTTATTTATGGTGAGCTTTAAAGAGTTCTTAAATAATAATTTGATGAGGCGTCTTTTAAGAATGAGCACATCATATTTTACATATCTGCTGATGCCTACCAAGACACTCCTATGTTGCCCCTGAGAGCAAAAGTACCACAGGCACACAATACAGAATAACTTTGGTTTGTTAGTTTGTTTTGTTTTTAAGTACATTTTAGTTCATTTATAAATAAAAGGCAGAGAAAGCACTCATAGTAAAAATACCAGCTTGCTATTATTACTTAGATAACAAGGTTATTCAGGAACACTTGAGGGTTAACTGATTAAATACTAACTGCAAACCTGAACTTTAAAATGTAGCTAATTCAAATGCTAGAGAAATCTGCTCTTTCCACTCTGTTCAAAACTGTTAAAATAAAACAGCCAGAAGTCCTAATGACTTCCTAAGTGGTTTTTATACATCACTAGTTGCTATGACAGGATACACCACTGAGAACCATTACATATAATGTGGTTACTGGCTACACTCACAGAAAAATACACACAGAATATTAATCCCCTAAAGAAGAACAAAGATTCATTTTAAACAAATGCAGTATATTTAAATCTATTGAAAAGATAGATGGAGATGTATTTCTAATTTTTGAACCATTAGTTTCAACTACAAGACACATTTACAAATAGGATGCAAACCATTTCCAATTGTATGTAAAAGACCAAAAAGTGACTTATATTCATCATTGCTTCTCTATACAGGCACTGACTGTGAGGTACCTCCTCTTTGCTACCACACACAACCAACATGAAATTATTATAAAGGTTCTACTTAAAATCTGTTTTAAAAAAAGTGAAGGCTGAACTTAATTGGATTCTATCACACACACTCCCAAAATATGAAATAAGACAATTATTTGTTTTTAAAACTTTTCATTGTCTGAGAGCATAACACTTGGTGGGGAAACCTTCTTGTGATTATGACAATATTATCTTGCAGGTTTGTCCTACACAGTGTCCTTTATCGCATTTAAAGTTATAAAACTCATGAAACTTTTTGCCCACTAACCCATAATTGGATTTTCTTTTTAATTAGCATCTATGTGACAAAGCACTTAACTCTAACAGGGAGACTTGTCTTCCAGTCATCATGCAAACAAACCCTGAATAAGTGAATCTCAATTATTTTTCAGAGGAAATTACAGTCATATCATCACCAGTCACAATATCTAGCTCTGATTTATTATGAACCAGTTCACCATGGGTGTAAATATTAATGATATCATTTCCACCCCTATCCCACCCAGCCCTATCTCCACAGCCTCCCCCACCCCTGCCCCCCCACCAGCCCTTAAGATTTATACTATTTCATGACTTTTTTGTTTGTCTGAAATCACTGTATCTCCAGGAAACGTTTAACCTAGGCGGCAACATTGAAAAAAAATTAAAAAAAGAAAAAAGGTTAAGACCCATCTAGCAAATGTAGGACTGATTCATCTCGGACCAGTCCTGGAGTGTGGGTATAGAATGGGAGAATTACAGGGAGGTCATTGGTAACATTAGAAGAACTTCACTCGAAAATTCTCACCTTCTGAGCTGCTTTAGAAGGACTCTTGTTCTTGCTGCCTTTGGGTCTTCCCCGGGGTCTCTTGGGAGAGGGCTCACAGGTTGGCTCCTAATTGGAGGGAGGAAAGAAAAGCTGTTGTGGCTAGACCTACAGAAAGAGAATGACCCTGACTCTGGCTATGTTTTCTGCCTGGGCCGCTTAACAAACCTGCTGGAAGTCATTCAGTTCTTGCATAATTGGATGATGGTGGCACAGCGTTTGCACAAGTTGGGGTGGGGGGAGAGAATACAACCATAGTCTGAATCCCAGTGCTCAAAGAGGAAACTACTTGCGTGTGAAAACGGGATTATACTTTGAAATCAAAATGATAGCAAAGCCTGGAGGAGTTACAATGTTCTAGAAAGTCCCTGTTTTTAAGGTGCAAAGTTTACATGGCTATGCTCTTGGCAAAACTCACAGAAATAATAAACTTTTTATAGGACTATCAGTACCCATTCTACTGGGATTTCAAACAACAGAATAGAACCCAAAGTCATAGATAGTTGGAAACATGGAAAGGATTGCTTGCAATTACATCTATATACCTGTTTCAGGTGCTTTAGGATTGAACCCACACATTCTGAGTGCAATCTTGTAGCGATTTTCCAAACTCTTCAGCTCGGAATAATTCCATACCCCCTAAAATTTCCAAATAATTATGGTAGATCTGAGGTGGGAGGTTTTGCTTGAATTATCTAGATAATTGCTTCAATTCTCCACTTCCTTTTGAGAGACAGGCAGAATCTCTAGTCGAAATTTAAATATCTTTTTACAAAAATAAACGTGTTGCGTTAGAGTTTTTGTTTTTTCACAAAGAAAGTTTCGTGGGGGTGGAGTGGAAAGAAAGGGGGGAAGATGGGAGAGGAATGTAAGTACCTGGGAAGGAGAAATTGAACCGGCCAGATCACCAGGTACATCACAGCTTTCCTTTATTGGGTGCTAGGCTAAGAAGCCAATACTCAAGCAGTTAAGAAAATGTGATGATTGATACTCCGGGGATGTCGAACATCTCTCTGGTGAATCATCTACTCTCATTTCATTCAGATTGCGTGCTTAAATGAGACTAATTACAACTCACCAAAGTTCTCAATGGAAGCTCGCATTCTACTCAGAGAGCGTGGGGGAATGGTTTCTTGGAAGCGTCCATTAGATACTCGCGCCAGTGGGCACTTAGAGCAAACACATCGGAAACAATTTTTCTTTGTGAGCTCGGCCTTCACTCAAAGGTAAAACTCCCAGTCACCTCCGGATCCCCTGGCGTTTTCTTTTAGACATTTGTTTTTTAACTGGGGGGAGGTGCGATTAGTAGAATTCCGAAAAGCTGGGTGGCGAGTAGGTAGAGCGGGGACTTCCTGGGAGGTGTAAAACAGGATCCAAAGGCATAGTGAAGTGTCGCCAAGGCCAGAGCGGGAAAACTCGGAGGCCTCTAGATTGGCTTGTTTCCTTTGAAGATTTCAAAAAGGTACACCCCTCGCTTTTTTTCTAAAACACACTGGCAATCATTCTTTGATTTCCCAACTAGCGCCCGGGGACCAACGTGGGACTTTAGGGTTATTTTCTAACCCTTCTTTTTGCCCGAGGGAAGAGATTTAAGGCAAAAGGAGAAAAGAAAAGTGTTTTGTTTTTTAAAGGCTAGGAAGCTGAGTTTAACTGTTCCCAATAGTCGCATCCCTAGGTTTGGAATTGCTGCGGACCCCCACCCCCACCCCCAAGCCCCCGGCCCTGGGCGCTGTGCTCAGCTCTGCAATAGCCGGCTGCACATTTAATTGGTTGCATCCGTAGACAAAACCCTCCACTCCGCGGGGTCCTGGGTGCCCCTCGATCGTCCCCTCCCAGCCCCCAGCCATTCGCCCTGGAGGACACTAAACTTCTGCCGCTCTAAAGTGCGGGATCTAGGAGCCAAAGGGGGACAGAGCTCTTGGCGGGGAAGCGACCTTAGCTACCGTGCACTCTCTAGGACTTCCCTTCCAAAGTTCCTCGGGAGAAGCGCATTAACTGGTCCCGCGGGGACCTGAGATTCCCCGGGCTCCCTTCCCCGCCAGCTCCCGCGACTGCAGCTCGGCAGGCGTTTAAAGATCCCAAGGAGCACCCGGCAAGGCAGTAGGCTCCACACGCGTTCTTTGTCGGGAGGGCGCGAGCCTAGGGCCATGGAGTGTGGGGAGGGCACCGAGGGGGCGGCCGCGGCGCTCCAGGCTCCCGCGGGCAGGCAGCCCCGAGACACTGGAGAAAGCCGCGGGGTCTCGGCGCCTCCGACCTACCGAGTTCCGACCCTCCTGAACGTCCCAGTCCCCGGCAAGCCCTCTCGCTGAACAGTTGCAAAAGCGGCTGACAAAGCAATGCTTTTTAGTCTGTGGGACCCCAGAAGCTCCGGTCCCCCAGCCACGCCGCGCCGCTCCGGGGCTGCGCACAATAGCGAAAGTCCCCGTACGCGCCTCGCGCGACCCCACCTCCCGCCGGGTGGCTGCGGAGGGCAGCGGACCCCCCACCTCCTGGAGCTGTGGGGCGCGGGCAACCGGGAGCTTGCACCGCGCACTCGCCGGTGAGGGAATCGGTCTCCCGCCCACCTACACCCTGAGGCTAGCGGGCAAGCTTGCGCCGCCCCGGTCGCTGCGCTCCCGCGCTCTGGTTGCCCAGTTGGTCGCGGGGCCCCGGGGCAGAGGCGTCGCGGGTGGGCTGAGTGGCCCCTCCGCGCCGGCGTACTGACTTGCTGCTGCTTCCTGGGTCGGCCGCGTCCTCGCTTCTGTGGCGCCGGGGCGGCAGGTTGTCCCTGGGCTGATGTGGACGGCTGCCCGGCGCCTTCACCGCGTGCGCTCATCCTGCCTCCCGCCGCCGCTACCGCTGCCTCCGCCGCTACCGCCGCTGCAGCCGCTCGCCCTCCGCCGCCCTGGATCCGCCCAGCACCTTTCGGGAGTCGGGATGAAGAGGGCTGGAGAAGGCAGGGGCGACGAGTGCTGGCGGAGTTGGCGCGCGCCGAGGGCTGCTGCTGCTTAGGCTGCCTCTGCTGCCACCATCAACACCGGACGTCCAGCGGCTGCCAAAAAGAGAGAGAGGGGAGGAGGAGGAGGAGAGGAGGAGGAGGAGGAGGCGGCTCTGCGGGCGGTGGGTGGCGGAGGTGGAGGTGGAGGTAGCGAGAGGAGGCGGGAAGCAAGGAAGAGGGAGAATTGAAGGTGGAGAGGGCTCCTCTCTCCGCTAAGGATGGGGAGTTGCGGGCACTGGGAAAGCTGGGCAGTGGCTTAGAAAGGAAGACTTGGAGTGAATTGTGTCCCTTGCAATGTTAGGCGGGGAAAGAATTCCTCCTCCTCTCCCGAGGGGGGGCGGGCTGGGGACTGGGACAGAGATACAGACTCTTGTGCCTTCGGAAAGCAGGGAGAGGGTGGGAAAGATTCTGCCTGGATCGGGTAGGGGGCACAGCTCAACTCTAGCTAGGAACAGAGCAGTGGGTGGCACCGCGCCTCCTCGGGTGGCGAGGGCAGGCGGCGGCGGCAGCACTGCTTGCAGTGTGTGGGGAAACAAGCTGCTGGCCCCGGCGTTCTGCAACCCCGTGTGCGCGCCCGGGTTGGAAGTTTTCTGAGTTCCTGCCTGGGTTTCAAGAGGGATGAGTGTGTGTGCACGTCTGTGTATGTGCCTGCGCGCTCGTGTGTTTGCGTGTGTTGTGTATCTGTGTGTGTGTGTGCGCGCGCGCGCACTTGCGGAGGGGGTGGCGGGAGGGGGGACTGCCCACTTCTGATCATGGGCGGATAAAGGGGAGGGGGTTGCAGGAGCAACAAGAGGAGGGGGAGGCCGGGCGGACCGCCGAGCCGAGGCGCCTGGCCGCCCGCCAGAGGCAGCGTTCGAAACACAACTGCCTTGGCGGCGGCGGCGCCCTAGTGCCACCCGGAGCCCAGGCTCACGTGCTCCCGCCGGCGGTGGGGTTAAAAGAGACAGGGCCTAGGCTCTCCAGCCCGGCTCCCCGCGGGTCTAGTCCCTGTTACCCTCCGAGGTCACCCCTGGACGGTTGTCCTGGAAAGGCGAGAGTAAATGCCTTTCTCAAAGCCACCTTAGGGAGCATGGCCACTACCTGCGCTTCCACAGAGCGGAGCCAGAAGGTGGCCGGAAGCACTAGGAGCCAACCGCCGCCGCCTTCTATTTCAGTCCTGGGAACAGGCGGCCAAGGAGTCTGAGAGCCCCCGCGACAGCCTGGATCGGTTGAGAGGTGTCCTCACCCCAGAGCGCGCCGGCGGGTGCACACACACAGTATGCACAAAGATCCATGCGCCCACGCGTGTGACCGAATAAACACTTGCACGCAGATAGATGCACGTGCACACACGCACCGTCCAGTGATAAACTCAGGCTAACAAACGCGTGCTTACGCACGCTTCCGGGCACATGGATGGTCCAGCAAGCACATTCACAACAAATGCACACACTTGCACACTGCACACAGGAACACGGAGCGTGCCAGTTTCTCCATCGGGCATTTTATTCCTCCAGGAATGACTACTGTAGCTGGCGCTGTGCCCTCCCATGCCCCTTCTTCAGACACCCACAGAGAGTAGGGACCTTAGAGATTCTTTTCTCAACAACTGTGTCTATCTCTTCCTTCTGTTTACCTTCATGTAACCTTCTCCCTCAGAATTCCTTTCTGCCAAGTCCTAATTTTATAACCTGGGCTGTTTCTGGGTTATGTGAACACTATCATGACCACAGTCAGTTTTTAAAAGGTTGAGAATGTTCTCAAATGTACCTCCTTTTCATCCTTGAATAACACAAAACTGAAAGGAAAACACACACACACAAAACAAAACCTTAGGTTCACTTTTTCACACATCACATCCAAAATTGTGTTGGACTGACTCCAAAATAAAAATGTTCACCCAATGAAGAATTTTTCTCTTCTTGCAAGGATACAGACCACCGAGGAATAAAAATGTATACTCTGCAGCCATAAGCTGGGAACTAGGCTTTGCCGCGTTCTGATGTACTTAAGGCAGGGGCAAATGTCTGCCTGGACGCGACAGTGCTGATTGGTCAGCGTTGCCATTTTAAATCCATTTCTAGCTGCCCTTTGCAGAGTTGGGACACTTCTCTGTACGCCGAGTGGTCTGCAGGAACTCAAGGCTGGCGGTGGGTCTGGGAACGCTTAGCGCTAATGGAGAGGAAGAGCCCCCATACCTCCAGATGGAGTCCAGCCACTGAACAGCGAGGGAGGGAGTCAAACCGGCACCAAAGGTTTTGTCAGGGCTTGGTTGAAAGATAGTATCTTCATCAAAGGGACTGAAATTTCACCTTCTAACAAGTGCACTGACATTTCCTGGCCGCCAAGTTTGTGTGTGTGTGTGTGTGTGTGTGTGTGTGTGTGTGTGTGTGTTCTTACACTTTGTTGCTTGTTTGGTTGCATTTTGCCAGAAGGACAGACAGATAGAGTTCTGGGGGTGGATTTAGGCAGAAGTCACCAAGGATTTCAGCGAGCTAATTTTATACTGGGAATCCCATTATCTTCGTGAGTTTTTGTTCATTTGTTTGTAATGCACAGAGGCTAGCAAGCCAGAGATTTCAACTTGTGTGTGTGCGCGGGGGGGTGGTGAGAGGGTGTTGTACTTTTTTTTGTCTGTGTGTGTGTAATTTTTTTCATTAACCTAGAATCTAAGAGAAACACATAAAAGTTGGGAAATCCAGTCATTTTTTTTCATTCCATTTTGTTCTCAGACTTGAACCCTTTTCAGTTTATAGAGATAAGGACAGAAACGAGTTTTGTGCTAGGTTTTTATCTAAGTTAGGCTTAAACATTGTCATCCTTCAGTGACTATAATCCTTTCAAGTTGCTGTATTTTTTATTTTTGCAGGCAAAGCATAAAATTTTGTTTTTGTTTTTTAAATTAATACTTTTTATTGAAGTATTATCTCTATCTGGTCTTTTAATTAACTCAATGGCTATATTTTTCTTTTTAAAGACACACTTTCCTGTTCACATTTGAGCAGTTTAATTCCAAGATTAAAGTTTCTCAATCATTCATTCCTTCTTCTATATCTTGCTATGTAGTAGTCATTCATTCCAGGTTAAGCTATTCATTCCCAGTCTAATATGAGATTTTTCCAAGTGTTTTCTGTCCATGTTAAATTGTTTCCTTTCTTATTCACCTGCTATCAAATCATATATTAGCACATCAGCTGTATATGTCAACACACTTTCTATTGACCTGTGACACATGATTTAGACTGGTGTTTAGATTAGGTAAGCACATTAGAGGTTGGTAAAATCAAAAGACTGGACACAGAACACCATTTAAAAGCAGTAAATATATTAGAATAGAAAAATTTGGACCAAATCACACTCATTTTATTCTCTGCACCAACATAAAATTGCTTTAAGATCCTCAGTCCCATACTTTAGAATGTATGGGTGTAGTTGGACAATGCACGCCTTTAATCCCAGCACTCTGAAGGCAGAGGCAGGTGGATCTCTCTGAGTTTAAGGCCAGCCTGGTCTACAGAGTGAGCTCTAAGACAGCTAAACCCTGTCTTGAAAAACAAAACAAAAAATGAGGGAGAGGGAGGGAGGTAGAGAGAGAGAGAGAGAGAGAGAGAGAGAGAGAGAGAGAGAGAGAGAGAGAGAGAGAGAGAGAGAGAGAAAGGAAGGAAGGAAGGAAGGAAGGAGTTGGGGTGTTCAAAATTCAGGCTGTTTAGCACTGTGTTATGATACAGCAGGCAGAATCGTTTTTATTTTAGTAGTGTGCTTGATACAGGGTATAATGCTGCTGCTTCTAAAACAAATGCTCAGGTTCTTCCAACTCACCTTGAGATGTGTGATATCATGTTTTCTACTTTATCACAACTATATGCAAATTGCACCCATAATCCCCAAAGATAGGTAGCACTCCCATGCCTCATTTATTTTTGTCTTGCTAGTTTTGCCTAGGCATTATTCTGTTCATAACAAACTTTTGGTAGTCATTATTAATTTGTTACTATGACAAAAGGTAATTTTAACATAGTTGCAACTTTATAAAATGTACCACACAGGATCAGAAAAGTATCCTGCAATAAACAAATGTCTTCAATACTCTTTTGACTAAAGGATGATTCTCTTGTGATGAGGAGATCTAGATTTCCAAGCTTTACCCAGCATATTATGTTTGCATTTTAATATATTCACACATCGAAAATAGTTTATAGATTTTGTCATAATTTAATGAATTAATTATGAATGCATTTTAGTACATGGAATTATTATAACCAGTTATTTTGAAAGTGACTTTTTACATGGTCACAAAAATATAGCTAATATTTTCTTTTCTTTCTTTTTTTTTTTTTTTGAATTTTTCGAAACAGGGTTTCTTTGTAGCTTTGGAGCCTGTCCTGGAACTGGCTCTGTAGACCAGGCTAGCCTCAGACTTACAGAGATCCATCTGCCTCAGCTTCCAAGTGCTGCAATTAAAGGCGTGAACCACCACCCCGCCAATTAGTTAACATTTTCTAAATGGAATTTTGTGTGTATATAAATTTACTTAGGTACAGTCCAGTGCAAAATACATATTCTTGCATTTAGAGGCTTGTATCATAATTTTGCTGGAAAACAATCTCAAATGTTTAAAATGAGCTCGTTTACATGGCTCAAACCCAACTGTGTTTCTTCATGTGTATTTAGTGATCTGTAGGAAAGATCACTTGTGCTCCTTTCCCTACAGTAATGCAATGAAACACTGACTGCCACAAAGTCAGACTTTTGTTGATGACAATAGACTGTATTATTTGAACAAACCCCTACTTCTAAAATAGGAGAATTACCAAGCAAAATAAGGTTGTTTATTCAACAAAGGTTGGGTTTTAGTGAATCTAATGTACACTGACTTGTTTTCACAGAAATGTCACCTGTTATTCTCCCAGGAGTCACGGGTATAATTTATCCGGAATTAAAGAATCCTCTAAGAAACAACCTGGAACATGCAGTGTCTTAAATACTTCCAAGTGTGTATTCTCTATGTAGTTCATAGTTCCTTCAAAATCTGTGTAGTGAGTGCCTAATATATGCTATTGGCCAAAGTCGTGGAAAGGAAATAGAATTTTCTGCCTCATCTTAATAGCTGAAGTTGGAGATTAAAACCACAAGGCAGATGTGTGTGAACCGCCATTGCAAGTCTGAGGATGTAGGGACTGTGTGACTGGGATTGTGAGTGATATTTAGGAGCTGGGGGCAGCTTTAGACTAATTGCCAGCAAGGAAACGCAGACTTTCTTTTTGGCTGCCAGCCCCAAATAATGGCACTGAGACTTATTATGAAATCTTGACCATTAGTTTAATCTTGT